TAATCTCCTGCAGCCTGTTGGGTGTCCAACATGGGGGTCGGGGCCCTGCAACAGGCCGCCAGCGGACCAGACTGCTCAGTGTAAATGCAGTGATTTAAACGTGGTGCTCACACACGGAAACAGGGTTTGATTTGATTTTAACGTCAGTGTTTAGTTTCTACAGAAATGTTGATCTGAAGAATAAAGCAGGAAAAATCAGGTAGAAAACATTCAGGCTGCTGAGCTCCACGTTTTAATTTATCACCAAGAATAAAGTAAAAGACAGATCGAGGTGCAGCCCGTCCTGGTCAGCGTTCAGGAGGAATATAAACATGTGGAGTCCGGACAAGAGCATCAATCAGTGTTTCAGCAGCAAATGAAGGAAGTTAATTATTGTTTAAGTTTAAATCATTTCAGCTTTTCTTATAAATCAGATCCTGTTTGTGCTCAAATCAAACCTGAGTTCAGATGAATTCAGATTAAATCAACCTGCTGGAAGTGTTTTTAAGAACTTGCTGATCTTCAGCTGAAACCCTGAACAGAACAGAACGGTCCAGTTCTGAAGGTTTCATTCAGCCACTGACGGAGGATGTTCTGGGTTTACCTGGAGCTCACTGATCATTAACTGGTAATTATTAACCAGCTGGACCCGGCTGTTCCCCTCACCAGGACTCTGACCGGTTCCGGTGTTCCGACGGTGACCTCTGACCTCCACTGGATCAGAACATCATCACTGGAAATATCTCTTTTAATTCTCTAATGGTTCTTTGGATGTCAGTCAGAGCTGTGGCCCGGTCCGGCTCCCAGACTCGGTCCTGACTCGGTTCGCCTGCCTGGTTCGGTCCCGACTCGGTCCGGCTCCACTTTATTTCTCCTCAACTTTCCAACTCCGCAGCGTCGCTCTCTGACTCGCAGCCAATCAGGAGCCGCCGCTGCTGCCGGAGCGCCTACGTCACGGCCGGGTCACCCAATCCGGAGCGGCCCCGGCCCCCCTCCCCCCCGCGCGGCTCCAAACTTTGGACCTGACGTTCCGCCGGTCAGCTGTTAGAAGCTCCGCGGCGCCGCCCGGGACCGAACCTCCCGGTGACCGTCAGCGGACCATGGCGTCCGGAGAGCCGCAGTGAGACTCCCGCAGGGCCGACCGAGGTGATGCTAGCGGCGGGTCCGATGGACGGGTCCCGACAGAGCGCCTTCCTCCTCAGCACCCCCCCGCTGGCCGCCCTGCACAGCATGACCGAGATGAAGACGCCGCTGTACCCGGCCTACCCGCTGCCCTCCGGCGGGCCCACCTGCTCCACGTCGCCGGCCACCACGTCGCCCAACCCGGGCGGCATGGCGGGCTCGTCCCCGGGCATCAAGAGCTCGTCGGGGCTGTCTTCGGGGCTCGGCTCCCCGCAGCAGTGCTCGTCGGCCACCCCGCACGGGATTAACGACATCCTGAACCGGCCGTCGGCGTCCGCGGCCGGGACCCCCGCCGCCGCCGCCGCCGTGGCCGCCGCCGCCGCCTCGTCGTCGGCGGGCATCCTGAGCGGGCTGCCCCGCTTCAGCAGCCTGAGCCCGCCGCCGCCCCCCGGACTCTACTTCAGCCCGGGCGCCGCGGCGGTGGCGGTGGCCCGGTACCCGAAGCCGCTGGCCGAGCTGCCGGGCCGGACGCCGATCTTCTGGCCCGGAGTGATGCAGAGTCCGCACTGGAGGGACGCCCGGTTCGCCTGCTCGCCCCGTAAGTCCGGTCCGCTGGAGGGAGGGACGAGGCGGAACCGAGGCCCGGAGCTCGGAGCTGATGATGTGTTTGTGCTTCTGCTTTCAGACCAGGGTTCGGTGCTGCTGGACAAGGACGGGAAGAGGAAGCACACCAGGCCCACGTTCTCCGGGCAGCAGATCTTTGCGCTGGAAAAGACTTTCGAACAAACCAAGTACCTGGCGGGACCGGAGCGGGCCCGGCTGGCCTACAGCCTGGGCATGACGGAGAGCCAGGTGAAGGTAGGACACGGAACCACACACGGAACCACACACGGAACCACACACGGAACCAGTCGCTGCAGCTCAACGAGGAACATCAGGAAAATAATAAATGTATAAATTAATAAAAACTAATTTAATTTAAGCTCATTAATCAGAAGAACAAAAACAATAATTTATTTTAATTGACAGTAAAACGTTCCTTCATTGAACTCTACAGACATTTTATTTAAATGTATTTTCTGTGGTTTAATTCACCATCAGCTGCTTTCAGTTGATCCAAGCTGAGGTTCGGGTCCCGCTCAGGGCCCAGAACACAGTAAAATACTCGAATTACTCTGATTTAAATTTAAAGTATTAAATTGATTTAACTTGAGGCTCCGGTTTGAACAAACCGGATAAATAATCCAGTAAATAAAATATAAACCAGTTAAATTAAAATCCTTGTTTTCAGTAATTAATAAAGTTTTATTTGTTTGTTTTATAGTAAATAATTAAATGTGTTAAATTACAGATGTGACCTCAGATAAATAAACAAAGTTAATATTTAGTGTTTCACTTTCTGCTCCACAAACGTTTAATAAATGTTTAACTAATGTTTGATAAATGTTTGGGTCAGACGGAAAGTCCGCTTGACTCGGATTCAGAGGAGTTCTGATCCAGTTCTAGCTACTGATGTTACTGATCCAGTACTTTAGAATGCTTGAAGCTGTGTTCCGACCCGGTTCTGCTTCGTGCCTAATCCACTCTGTGTCTCGGCGGCGCAGGTTTGGTTCCAGAACCGGAGGACCAAGTGGCGGAAGAAGCACGCGGCGGAGATGGCCTCGGCCAAGAAGAAGCAGGACTCGGAGACGGAGCGGCTCAAAGGCACGTCGGACAACGAGGACGAGGACGACGACTACAACAAGCCGCTGGACCCGAACTCTGACGACGAGAAGATCACGCAGCTGCTCAAGAAACACAAACCGGGACCGGCGCTGCTGCTGCACTCGGAGACCGACAGCTCCTAACGGGACCCGCGGACCGGCACCGGACCGACACCGGAGCAGCGGCCGCCGCGGCGGCTCCGCGCGCCTTTGCGCGCCGCCGGACAGAACCGGGACGCTGCTGACTGTAAATAGAACCGTGAGTTGTTCGAATAGAAATTATCTGCTGTGAATAATTTATGTGTAAAAAAAACAACAAAACAAACGTTTTTGTACAGATTCACTCAGTTTATCTGGACGGAGGCCGCAGCGGACCGTGAACGCAGCACACACACGCACACACACACACACACACACACACACACACACACACACACACCTTTTTATTTATATGTTTAAGTTGTGAGTTGCGCCTGCGCACTGTGTATCTGCAGGTCCATGTAATGCACTTTTATTTAATAAAAACTCGAATGTTTCTTGTTTCCTCGGAGAAGCTTCAGGCCTCCTCTGAGCCTCTCAGCGGTCTGGACACGAGTTCCGATCCTCCAGCACTCTGACGTGACTTTTTTTTTTTTTGCATCAAAACTTTAAACGAAGATTTTTTTATTTTTTTTTGGACTCTTTCCGTCAGATTTGTGGATTTTCTCTCTTTCTTCCGGGAGTCTGTGCAGCTGCTGGTTTCCTTCATCATCTGAGGACGTTTCAATGTATTTATGAGGAGAAACAGGAAATAACGCGCCGCTGGGTTTGGATTTCTCTCTGATGCTTCAGCTCCTCCAGAACCTGCTCCAGAACCTGCTCCACGTCTTATTTAATCCTTTGTGTTCTGTACATCGCCACAGTGTGAAAACAGCAACACGAATCCTTTAAATCTACTTTTGATTTGATCCTGAACTCCGCCTGCGGCTCTGTGACGGGATCAGTCTGGACTTCAACATGTGGTGAAATGAAAACGTGTTTTAATATCTGCAGCTTTCAGACAGAACCACCAGCTTAATTTAAAGATAATTTATAATTCTGATAATTAATGCTTCCACTGTTCCCTCTGATTTTAATGTTATCATTAAATATCATGTTCTGCAGAAAAGTCTGATTTATTTGATGTGAAGGAGCAGAAATACTGAAGAATCCGTTTTATTAGAAACAGCAAGAAAAAAGAAGGAAACGAGCAGAAATACAGAAATAATAAATAGAATAAAGATAAAATGATGAACGTCACCTTAAAACAGAGAAACGCGCTCAAAGCTTCTGCTGCGAGAAATAATTCATGTTTTTACTGTTTTACTGTCGGTTTGGTTTTATTATTATTATTATTATTATTATTATTATTATTTAAATTGGATTTCGTTTCTAAACGTGATTCTAGCAGCAGGTCGTTCTGATCAAATGGTTCTGACCCAGAACGGTTATTCTGGTCAGAGTTTAATTCAACCTGAGCAGCTTCTGTCTGCTGTTCCTTCACTCCTCATCGCTGGGACCAGATGAACTCTGTCCGAACCTGCTCCGAACCTCCCGAGCTGGACTCGTGTTTTCCCGTCAGCCCGGGCTGGATTGTACCGCCGTCCGGACCTCAGAGGCTCCTGGAGCTTCTTCGGTTTCGCTTCATGTGATTTTATTTAAATCTGCTCCAGAATCAGTTTCTTCAGATGTCTGTTGAGAACAGCTCGGTTCCGACGGATCCAGAAACCGGCTGGATGTTTAAAAAGTCACTGGTTTATTTTATTGTGGTCAGAAAACAGAGAAAACGATCTGATTGGTTGTGATTGAGTCCGAGCAGCTGAGAGAAGCTGCTGTAATGATGAAGGTGCTTAATGAGATGAAGAACGTGATGAGGAGCTGCTCCACTCATGACACCAACACAGCCGCATGTTCCGGTCCACTTTGTGTTTCTGCTCAACTGAATGAAGTTAATGTGAATAATATGTGACCGTGAGCAGGAAGCAGCGTGTTGGTTCGTTCTGGTGCCGGTCGGATGGAGCTCCACAGGAACCAGATGAACGTCTTTATGTTGAACAAGTTGTTTTATTCTCTAAAATATCAGAAAACATTTCTAATAATTCCGTTTATGATGGAAGCAGCAGGACTCACTGTCTGGATGTTCAGATGAGGAGCTGGTACCAGAACACAGCTGGATGCTCGCTCATTATTTACAGGTTATTTATTTGTTGTTAATTTATTAAAATTGCTTCTGATTGATTTTGTGTCACGAGCTGATCCTCCAGCTGCAGCGAGCCGCGCGCGCTCTGCAAAAATAATCAAAGTTGTGATCCGCGCGCGGCGGCGGCGGCTCCAGCCCGCGGCCCCGGAGGAGCTCCACGGGCCGTGACCGGACCGGATCCACACGATGAGCAGCTCTGTGCTGCGGGATGCCGAGCCGCCGGAGGGAAGCCGCGTGATCAGAAAACTCATCTGCGCGCGTTCGTCAGCCTCCAGCTTCCTCTGGTGTTCTGGTGTTCTGGTTCCTGTCGGTCCATCAAGACCCGGAGACACTCGGCAGCATTTTGTCTGATTATTCCAGATTTGTGGTAATAAAAGCAGCTGCTGGAACCAGTGAAGCAGGACGATGATCTGGATCCACAGGCCAGGACAGCCAATAATAATAACAATAATAATGACAATAATAATAATAATGATGATGATGATAATAATAATAATAACAAAAACAAAAACAAAATAATAA